GTAAGTAGCCCCCAGGTGCAGAACGCTCCAGCTGAAAAGTCACAGCATGTGATAATCGCCGGGGACTCGAATTTAAATCGATGCACAGAAGCCACCAAACAGAGGGTAAGAGGTGACAAGAAGGTTGCAAAAGGGGCGTTCCCAGGACGCAAGCTGGAAGCAGTCATGAGGCAAGCGAGCGCAAAGCTCAAAATGACCGCTGATAGACGAAACCTCGTGATAATTTCAGGCGGTTTAAACGATGTCCTAAATGAAGATGCAGCAGGACTAGCAGCCACACTGGCGAAAGGCGTCGATGACATGCGCACCACTTCTCCTAAGGTACAGGTAGTGATATGCACGATACCGGAGGTACCGGTGCGTGATAGCAACCTGCAAAGAGCGGTGTTCAACGCAAACCAAGAGATATGACGGATGAGTCGAGAAAAAGGCTTTGAGGTGGTGGAAATAAACAGAGAGGTGCATAGCTGGGGGGTTTTCAACGAGACAGAATTCACTTCGATGGGCGGCTAGGTCATGAGGTGGGTTGGCGACTTGCAGGACGCGCAGTAGCTTTTTGGGGGGGCAAGCGAGCCCTTCGGGGAGCAGGCTAGTTGGTAACGAGGAAAACAACCAGGGAGACTCTTTCCCAGGTGGTATAAACAGATACGATCCCAAAGTGGCACCAGTATCTAAGATAGGTAGAGTCCTGGGCATAAATAGACGTAGCCACGAGCGCCGAGCCAATTCAGACATGGGGTATATTAACATGCAGGGTGGTAGGAACAGGCTGAATTGGGAAGAGATAGAAGAACAGCTAAGGGAAGAGAGGCCGATGGTATACGGTTTTGTGGAAACACATCTCAGGGACATGGAACAACCTCCGAACAATCCGGACTACCCGTGGGAATATTGTAATAGAACAGAAGGCAGCAGAAAGGGGGGTGGTATTGGGGCATTCATTCATAAAAGTACAGACTGGCAAAGGGTCAAGCAGGAGTACAAGGAACATTTATGGCTAAAAGGGAAAGTGGCAGGTCAAATGACACTCCTTGGTTTCATGCACTTGTGGACGGGTGCAAAGGCCAGAGAGGAAAACCAGGCAATGGTAGAGTGTATATCAAAGGACATTCAGGAGTTAGAAAGAGAGTGCGAGATAATTATACTAGGAGACATGAATGCGCACATAGAAGATATAGATGGGTATACCGATCCTACAGGCAAAATGATCATGGATATGTGTGAAAGGCTTGATTTGATCATTTGCAACAGTACCGAGAAGTGTGAAGGGCAAATAACATGGGAGATAGGAAGGCTTTAGTCGACGATAGATTATGCACTGATGTCACATAGGATGTATGATAAGCTCAGGGGAATGCACATAGATGAAGGTGGCTCCAGAAGTCTGGGTAGCGATCACAAACGTATCAAGCTTAGTTTTGGAAGAGCAGTGAAAGTGGGAAGGAGACAAGATGAGCAACTACAGGAAAATTTTTATCCAGAAAGGCAAATTGAAATAGCCATTAAACAAATTGAGAAAGTAATCACGGAGGATAATAAGACAGTGTGGACATACACGAATTTAATTAGACTCTTTGAGCTAGAGCTTGCTAAGACGCGTGGCAAGTTACCCCGGAAAAGAAGACACAAACCCAAAAGTTGGTGGGATGAGGAAGTTAAGAGAGCCATAGCGAAACGTCAGGAAGCCTCTAGAGAACACAGACATGCTAAGCAGTGGGGTGAACCGACAGATGATGTTGAAAGAAAACGGGAAAACTTTCTAAGCTGTAGAAGGGCTGCATCCCTTCTGATCAATGAAAAGATTAAAAGAAAGGGAGCTCAGTGGCTGGCAGAAGTACATAAAAAAGATAGAAAGGCAGCTGCAAAATTTTGGAACCATCTAAACTCCCTAAGAAATGAGACGAGCCTAGAGCAGACTTTTATAACTACAGCCCAAGGTGCTAGGCTAGAAGTGGACGAAGCTATTGAATATATAAGAACAAGGGTGGCAGAAAAATTTCAACAAAGAAGTACTTTATGCACCGCAATAGACAAGGACGCAATGGTGCAATGGCTCCATTTTCACAACAAGAGTGGGAAAGGGCAGAGAAAAGGGTTCCTAGTAGTACATCAACAGGCCCAGATGGCATTCCAATTAGGCTGATGAAGACATTAGGTCCCAAGTCTAAGCAGGCTTTGAGAGAGGCAGTGAGCACAATAATAATCGATGGTGAAGTTCCCGATGGATGGAAACTTAGCAGGATGAGCATGCTCTATAAAGTAAAGGGGGACAAAGCTGACATAAACAACTACCGTCCTATAACAGTGACTTCAGTGGTCTACAGGCTGGCGATGCAGATTATAAAGGAAAGACTGCAGGCGTGGATAGAGGATGAGGGGGTGCTGGGGGAACTGCAGAATTGTTTCGGAAACACAGGAGGTTGGAAGACAATCTGTTCTCACTGACGCAGTGCATCGAAATAGCAGAAAAGGAACACAGGCCCCTGTGGCTAGCATTTTTGGATATCAAGGGAGCGTACGATAGCGTGGTTCAAGAGGAATTGTGGGGAATACTGGACGCACTAGGCGTGGAACATGTAGTCACTAATCTTTTAAAGGGTGTCTATAAAGGTAACAAGGTAGTTATAAAGTGGGAAAAACAGGTATCCAAGCCTGCAGAGGTAAAACGGGGGCTAAAGCAGGGGTGCCCCCTGTCACCCTTATCATTCATGATGTACCTACAAGGATTAGAGGCAAAATTAGAGAGAAGTGGACTGGGCTTCAACCTCTCTTTAGTCAACCTCTCTTCAGTCAACCTCTCTTTAGTCTTTAGAAATTAAGCAACGTGGAATAGGTAGGCTTGCTTTAGGAGCTCACGGGAATACACCAAATCAGGGAGTACAAGGTGATATGGAATGGACATCGTTTGAGGGCAGCGAGGCTAGCAGCAAGATAAAGTTTGAGAAGCGATTGAGAGAAATGGGGGAAGAGCGTTGGGCTAGGAAGGTTTTCAGCTACTTCTACATGAAGAATGTCGATACAGAATGGAGGAAGCGAACCAGGAAGTTGACTGGTAAATACTTAGAAAACAGCAGGTGGGCAAACCAAAAAGAACTATCGGCTAAGAAGAAAGTGAAGGAAACGGAGACGGACATGTGGAGAGTGGGCATGATTAAGAAGTCCGCACTAGAGATCTATCGAACATTTAAGCAGGAAATTGCCAAAGAAAGGATCTATGATAATACTCGGGGTAGTTCTCTACTGTTTGAGGCCAGGACGGGAGTACTCCGAACCAAGACATATCGGGCCAAATACGAAGGGGTAGACACAGTATGCAGTGCGTGTGGAGAGGAAGAAGAAACTGCCGAACACTTGATAATGTTCTGTAAAGGGCTTCACCCTATAGTTCAGGATGATGGCGCAGAGTTTTTCAAAGCACTGGGGTTTAGGGACCGGGAGGGCAAAATAAACTTTAAGCGGGTAGACTTAACTAGAAGGAGGTTATCTGATTGGTGGCTAAAGTCAAGGCACGAGGGAAAATTAAACTCTTCACTGCAAAGTACGAATCCTCAAACTCACTTTTTAAGGAAAAAAAAATAAATATAGTTTTTGGTTCATTAGGTATTACGGCTTGGTGGCGCTAGCCACCGTCCGATCTAAAGGGTACAGCCATATCCATCCATCCATCCATCCATCCATCGCTTTCTCTGGCTTTCCCTGGCGCAGGTGGGCGCAGAGGACGAAAACTCAGCCTTCGCAGCCTGTGTGAGACGTTTAATAAAAAAATTACAACCGCTCATCACTGCAGTAGATAGAAGTAGTTACGGGTGCCATTTAGCCGTTTAATTTTTGACGTAGACTAGGGCCGCTGTGAAGCGTAAGTGAATTCATTGCACATCAGTAGTTTTCATTTTTGTGGTGGTGGTGGTAAAAACATTTTATTGAGCAGCCAAGGGGGCAGGAAAGGGACGGGGTCAGCCTCCTACGTCCAGGAGGCCGCGATCCTGCGCCGAATGCAGGGCTCGTTGCATCAGCGCGATTTGATGCTCCGCCGCCGAGCTGGTCAGCGCAGACTCCCACTGCTCAAGGTCACGCATTTTTAAAAAAACGATAAGCCGTCTTGTTTTATTTCTGGAAAGCTTGTATTTGTTATTTTAGTACGTGAAAGAGCGCGTGATACAAAGAAAGAGCGCAGTGCCGTTTTTTTTTTGTGTGTGTACCAAAAATATCAATTTTTTTTGTTCGCATTCATTTAAGAGAAAAATTGTTAAGTGAAGTGTAATCTTTCACGGCGCGCAGGTGTTTTACAAAGCGTTGTCACAATCCAGTGTTGGGTAAGACAAACTTCCTGCAATGCTTACCGTTGAAGTTGCCTGGCTGGAACTGGGTCACTTTTTATTATTAGGTTTAACGCGTCGACGCTACATGGCGATAAGGCACAGCGTAGTAGAGGGCTCCGGAATAATTGTGACCATCTGGTTATGGGCGCCGGCTGGATTTTACCTTGAGAGGGGAAATCTATTGTTGCGCGAAGGAAAAGGGAGAGGGCATGGGGTAAAGTGTTAAAATGATTTTGTGGGGGGAGGGGAGAGCAAGTGCCTTTTTTTGCACCCCCTCCCATCGGCGCCCATACGCCTGGGGATTTTTAACGAGCGCCGAAATCTGGAACACACGGGCCGCTTTCGCCTCCAGCAGAAAAGTGGCCGCGAGTCGAACCCGCGTCCTTGAACTCAGCAGAAAATTTTTCCCGTGGTTGCCCTAAACATTGGAGGCTAATGCACCGAAGCTACATCTCGCAAAGAGGACAAACAAACTCATTTCAGGATGCATAATACTTTATTTACAGCAAGAAAAAAAAGGACGGTTTGCAGCATGTTTTTCTTCATTGCGCAATTCTGTTCACGGAGCACATTGCAGAGTAGTGACTTACATACAAGTTTATACATGAGACTTCATTTACAGAAACAACCCAAAAACAGAGGCGCATAGTATGCACCATGTTTTTCATGAGTTGCACAAGTTTACACGCGCAGCACTTTCCGGTACAGTGGCTTCCATGCAAGCTTTTTCCGGTAAGCTGCCCTGTCTGTCACAGCCGCACCGACATTGGACAAGAGTGGCTTAATAAACTTGTCGAAGACCACTGACAGTTTGCTCGCACCATGCTCATCTCTTGCCGGGCATTCAAAAAGGGGGCACTGTTCAAGGTGAGGCAAAATCAGTTCAGCCAAGTGCTGACGCACATTGCTCTTTTTTATGTGCAGCAGGGCAATGTCAACAGCCTTCTTAATGGTCACAAGTACCATGACAAATTCAGGCTTTGGGAAAGTTAGGCCACTCCTTGACTTCAGGCTAATTAGCCCCATTAGCACAGGACTGGATCCATCTGATTGATGGAGGTAAGGGCAGAAAATACATCTTCTCCGCTCCACGACTGCTTTTGTCACAAACCCGGCTATGTAAGCAATGCTAGCATTCAATATGGTTGACGGTGGCCGCTGCACTGAAAAAGAAAATAAGCAGATATGAAAAAAAAACACCAGAATAAAAAGTATCCAGTGAGCCATCAGAATTTGACGAATGGCCTGGGGTGGTTGCACTGTCACAGGCTGAACTAGTCATTTTGGCATGGCAACTTGATAAACTTGATGCTTTTTTTTTGTCTGAAGGGAAGTCCTGTACCTTTCGCTTCAATTTACGCCGTTTTGGTGGTTTTTGCGTGTGCATGTAGGTTGGGTATCCCGAAAATACGCTCGGAACAGCATCCCGTTTGAGGCGGCGAAGCTTTGTGGACCCCAAAGTGTAGTCTCAATACGCAAAACGAAGGCTGCAGATGACACTGCTCGATGATTTGTCATTTGGGACAAAATCTTTTCTTGATATTGCCTTCAGCCACGCTTGGCGACGGTCATCGTTCGCAGGAAATTCATGAAAACTTATTCCGAGCTTTCTTTTCCTGTCCGACTTGCAGAAAGGCACGCTGCAATACATTCTTCTGAAAAAATACAGAAGCAGAGCGGACAGTGGTGTGTAATGCACGCCAGAAAACCGTGTAATTTTCACTCACAGCGAATAATGAGGCAGCGAAATTGTGATAGCTACGTAAGACCGCTAAGCACACCTGCAACATATACGTGATAGCAAACCAAGAGTCAAGAAAAAATTGTCGCTTCGTACGCGTGGTCGCTTCGTTCACGCGGAAGACTTGCTTAGAGCTTTCGACAATTGCAATCACCTGCCTATAAACAACACTCGAGCGCTTATCGATATTACGCTGCTCTCTCTCACTCTGTCTCGCACACACGCGCATGCACACAATTCAACGCGTGCGCGTGTGAACCTACACACACACACATTAACACGCGCCGCGGACACACCCACATGCGCACGCACACACACGCGCGCGCGCGCACGTGTGAACCTACACACACTCAAGTAAACACGCGCCGCGAACCCATTCACATACGCATGCACACACCCGCACACACACACATGCGCGCGCGCGAACCCCCACGCACACCACGTAACATGCACACGTGCGCAGCGAACGCCCACGCAAGCACACGCGCCGTGAAACAACACGCGCGCACACACTCACACACAAAATAGCCCAGCTCACTGTGGCCAAGTACTTTCGAAACAGCCGGCAAGGCATAACAAGGTGAAGCGCCGTGATAGCTCGCGAAAAAGCCGTAAAAGTGACAAAAGAATTCAGCACACTGGCATTCAATCTGCAGGAAATGCGAAAGGAGTTTGGGCTGCCTCATTCGATTCACGTAACCACACCGGCTGCTGCAAAACAAACTTTTTTAACGAAGTCTTTTAAAAAAACTTACGTACCTTAACTTTGTACTGCTTGCAGGAACGAGTACAAACACATCGAGCACATACTCAAGGTTTGTCTACAGTGAAAACTTGACAACGAAGACTGGCGAACACCTGAAATCGCAGGCACTGTCGGTCAAATGAGCCTTCTTCACGGATGGATGAATGGATGGATGAATATGGCTGTACCCTTTAGATCGAGCGGTGGCTAGCGCCACCAAGCCGTAATACTTAATGAACTCAAAACTATATTTATTTATTTTTTCCTTAAAAATGAGTTTGAGGATTCGCACTTTGCAGTGAAGAGTTTAATTTTCACTCGTGCCTTGACTTTAGCCACCAATCAGATAACCTCCTTCTGGTTAAATCTACTTGCTTAAAGTCTATTTTGCCCTCCCGGTCCCTAAACCCCAGTGCTTTGAAAAACTCTGCGCCATCATCCTGAACTATAGGGTGAAGCCCTTTACAGAACATTATCAAGTGCTCGGCAGTTTCTTCTTTCTCTCCACACGCACTGCATACTGTGTCTATCCCTTCGTATTTGGCCCGATATGTATTGGTTCGCAGTACTCCCGTCCTTGCCTCAAACAGTAGAGAACTACCCCGAGTATTATCATAGATCCTTTACTTGGCAATTTCCTGCTTAAAAGTTCGATAGATCTCTAGTGCGGACTTCTTAATCATGCCCATTTTCCACATGTCAGTCTCCGTTTCCTTCACTTTCTTCTTAACCGATAGTTCTTTTTGGTTTGGCCACCTGCTGTTTTCTAAGTATTTACCAGTCAACTTCCTGGTTCGCTTGCTCCATTTTGTATCGACATTCTTCATGTACAAGTAGCTGAAAACCTTCCTAGCCCAACGCTCCTCCTTCATTTCTCTCAATCGCTTCTCAAATTTTATCTTGCTGCTAGCATCCCTGCCCTCAAATGATGTCCCTCCCATATCACCTTGTACTCCCTGATTTGGTGTATTCCCGTGAGCTCCTAAAGCAAGCCCACCTATTCCACGTTGCTTAATTTCTTCAACCTTAGGCTAACGGCGCCGCCTCGCGGCGTGTGTCGGAGTTAGCAAAATTACACCGCTCCCATTGCTTTCGCGCCGAATGGGACGGCCGGAGCAACGGCGCGCCGCCGGCAGCGAATCGCGGAGGCCACGACCTTTTCATTGCCGTGTTACACTGCCACAACTCCTTCTCCGTCGAACTACCTAGGGGCGATTTACGTGGACGGTGTTCAACGGAGTTTGGTGATGTCCGTGTGACAGGGGTATAAGTACGCTTAGGAGACTGAAGCGGGTGCCGCTGCGCGATGTGGTGACGTGCGCTAATTGCGTCATTTTTCCGGTAATGCCGAAAACACGGCAGCGGTAAGTGGTAGATATAAATAGCTTGCCGTTCTAACAATGCCAAACGCTCTTCGATTGGCTCAGGGGTTAACGCCTCACTTTCAAAACGTAAAGGTTCCACGTCCGAATTTGCACGCTAAAGTGCATTTTTTTCTGGTTTTTTTTTCTTGCGTTTTCGTATATATTGATACGTATACATATACGGTGCATGGCATCAACGCCGACGGAGAAATCCAGCCGAGAGTGTTCATATTGTCGCGTAGATATAGATGTAGCTATTTTCTTTCCACTTTTGGCTCGTTCAAATGTCGCGGGTCTGCCCAGGAGCGGGGTTTGCGGTGGTGTCCTTGAGTGGCTCACCGGCTTTGTTGTAGGAGCGCGTTATCTTCCTTCCTGCGAGTGACTGTTTCCAATTTCGGGACCGCAGACGGCTTTGCTTCCGCGGCGCCTCAAGGTGTGCGGGGTGAGTTGTACGGTAGAAGCCTAAAGGATGTCGTGGTAGCTTGTTGTACGCTTTTACTTTAGTTTAGGTCATTTTGTGTTTACGCGGACGGCGGTCATCGAGTTCAAACTCGGTGGAGACCGCCCGCTATTGGGTGTACCTGTTTGAATTCGTGACACCCGATTGGGTGTGGTGAACGGATACTTCTGAGTGGTCCTTTTTGTTTGTCTCGGGGGTCGCTTCGGGACGCTTCGAGGGGAGCCGAGAGAGAATCGCACCGGAGACGCCACGAGAGCAGGTTGCAGCGGGTGCTGCTCCGAGTTGTTAGAGTTATGCAGCGTACAAGTGTGTACGACGTCTATTATGAACACCAAGCCAAATAAATCGGTTTAGGAGCAACTCTATGGATCTGCTGTGTGTACGTGCCATCTCTCCGGCGGCGACCAAGTAGCGACCAGAACACTACGCTACAAACGCTACAATATAATTGCTACCCCAATAATATGTGCTCCCGACACGAGCAGTGGGGTGCTATGCTGCCCAATGAGTCAAGGTATTCGACGAAAACTACTGCAATCGTTCCCAGCCACAACGCCCTGCTTGAGGAGAGCGGTGTTACGACGAATTACAAGCAGCCCCGATAATTGAGCGTGGCGAGCGGCAGTCCTTTTGTTGCTCTGTTGCACGAGCGTGAGTCCTATGCCCCAGCAGCCTTATCACATCAAGAAAGGGACACGTTGGCGCCATAGGTAAAGTGTGGTAGCAATGCCTAGTCAAAAACGTCGACCTGGGCGGGCGTGGCCTCAGTAGAGACATCTTTGTCTGGTTCCACGATATGTTCGTCAAGTAGTAAAATGCTTGCCCTGTAAGTATTCTAAATAAACGTCATGTTTCCTTCTACTGAAGGAAACTTGGCATCTTCAAGCTGTCTCGACCCCGTTTTTGCGAATCTCCTGTGCCAGAACGACCGGACAGAACACTTCAACAACCTCTAGAACCACTGATATATCTCTACAGAGTTTTACGCCGTTTCGTAATCTAGTTGTCATACAGAGAGTTCTTTTCTTTATTTGGCAGTTTTATCAATTATTCGTTTACTCGCATGACGATGGTCTATGGTAAAATGCTATGCAGAGTTCAGATTATCTTTCTGAATATCTCGTACAACATGCTGAAAGGAGGTCGATCGGTCTGTATAGTTTGTGGATGAATGGTGAAATAGATAGTGCGTTGATGAAGCTGTTTGATGAAGTCATTTCGCATATGCGCATAATGGGAAGTTATCGGGGGAGAGGAAGGGTGTGAGGATAGTTATTACGGCCCTCACATATGACAATAAACGTGATGATCTCTAGCCACGTATACTTTGTAGGAAACCAGCCACAAGCACGAAAAAAGTGGATGAACCAGACGGGACAACTGCTCGACAAACAACTAAATATTTATTAAAGAAAGCCCCCATACCCATGAGCCATCAGCGCATGCATAAATGGGCTCTCTGAGCCTAGTAACGCTGCACATTTAACAATACAAAGCCAAGAATTAATAAGCATGTCAAGGTGTTGCCAATGGCGCATTTCCACAAAACGCCAAAACATTGACGCCACGTGCGCCCGTTGACTAAAAAAAAAAACTGAGGGTTCGCATCACATATGTCGCGTCGCTTTTTTTTATTATTTCGAAAGGGTTCAAAACTTTCATGTTAAACGTTCCTTCAGAATTCCCTTTTTTATTACAACCCTGATATCTAATCAGAGACGCAGATACAGCCGTTGCCGCGCAGATAAATGTAAGTTTCGATATTCCCTTGTCATGCAGCCGTGTCTCCAAAGGTCAGAATAGCCGATCAGCTTCAATGACAGAGTGCGGGAACATCGCATTATACTCCCTAC